GAGATCACAAAAAGCATTTTTCGATCCGCCGGGATTCATTAACGTGCATCTAAATGTATGTACACTTGTATTGTTCCATATCACTCCCCCCCCCCCCCCCCCCCATTGGCTGAGAATCAAACCCATGCCCTTGGGTTCAGCAGCATAGTATCTTGCCTGCGAAGCTACCAGAAAGGGCTAGAAAAAAAGGGCCAGATTATTGTTGTAAGATAAAAATACTTCCAAAAGGCTGCAAGCGCTTTTACAGTGAACTATTCGCTAGTTGTCCATTGTTCACGAAGGAGAATGATAAGCAATTCTAAAACATAAGCTGATTGTACAGTACATTCAAAATATTTATTATAAATGTACCAAAGGAAAAAAAAACTGACCATAGCATAGTGGTTGTTTTTGGCTATGGTATCACTTGTCACGTTGGAAACAAAAATAGTGATAAACAAGCTAGAAAAATTTACTCGACTATTATTTTTTAGTGATTGAAGACAACCCGTGCATATAAAATGTTTTCTTTAAGGTTAACACTGCAGTTGCGAATGCAACAAAACACGTATGAGCACGATTCAAGTGAAACCGACTAAGCCATGTCATTGCTCGTGTCAAATAACTGAGAAACGCAAAAACGAAAGAGCATCCTACTTTTGGCTTGTTCGTAAATGTTGAGAAGCGATTATCGTCCACTTTTATCCAATCTAGTTAAATTGCGTATATCTTTACCGCATCGGAAAAAGTACTATAGAGACTCGTCATGGAGTGCACGAACACTAGTGATACCGCCCTTAATAGGTGCCCCCGCGGCACACAAATGAGCTACTGCAGCAAGCGGCTGATGAGTTTTTCTCTGCGCAATGTGTCTGCTGGTCTTATCGTTTTCAGGCTCCGCAACTCTGCTACGGAGCTCACCAAGGTGAACCCAGTAAATTAGATGATGGGTAGCATATATCCCCGCATTAGAGAGAGGCAACCAACCCGCTATTGCAGATTGCCGACTCGGCATTGGCCAGCGGTGCACTTCGACTGATGAGGAACCCCGCTTTGCACTTCAGAGTTTTCATTTCGGACCTGTAACTAGCTGCCATCGCCCGGAGAGAGAAGAAGAATTCCCAGTGAAACCTCTTCTGAATATTCATCAAGGGATCTGATTTCAAACGCATTAAAAGGAAAACACTGGTGCTTCGACGAAAACTTTTTCGACAAAAAAAATGTCTTTCCTGATTCATAAGCATTTTTGTTCGTGAGTGCTGTGTATCATTGACTGGTGGCCTCCGCTAAAAACAAGCAGGACATCCGGTCTTGCTGTAATTAATTTACGCATATTCATTCTGAAATAAGCAATTTTTGTAAATAGGAAGTCTGAATTTCATGATGAAAGTGCTCTGCAGTTGTTGCTGCAGATCACTGAAGGTATCAGCGAGATTACCCTATGGCCAACTTGGTTTGTCGCGCGGGTTCCAGAAAAGTAGGCAACTTGTAGTTGTCTTTGTTGTTCGAGGAGACTCATTTCTTTGACGTTTTTTTGTTGCTTGTGCTTGGTTCGTGACTAGACTCCGCGTCGGCACAAAGGTTGTATGCCCTCGCAACAGAGTTGTCATTGGTTTCTTTCAGTAATTCATATGCTCAGTACATCTTCTCGTGTAAATTCGACAAAAACGGGCATCCCGCAACAAAATGAAGCTGGTGTGCTTCGTTCTACCAGATTTCACTACCTGAAGCTAGATGTGAACTCTCTATATTATTAGCGGTCTCCACCTTCAATGAATCTTTTAATGGTACTCTGTATCTGGCCTGAACTCTATGATTTCTAAATAAACTGTATGCATGCGTAGTGAAATTCTTGTAAATTTTTCATTTATTTGCAAACCATCTCTAACTTGAAGACCAATCAATAAAGCAAAAATGTATTTCTACTTATATGGTCCTGGTTAGTTTAAATTAAAATATTTATTGATCAAAACAAAAACTGTACCTATACTACCACCTCTGTGCAATTTGACTACAAATTTGGTCGTAATGTTCAACTGCATGGCTACTTTTGACTTGATTTTTGCGCCTTTTAATGTCCACCGAACAACAACTATGTCTCGCACAACCGAATTGCCGAGAGTGTCCATAGCGAAAAGTAATTATTTGTTAATGAAAAGGTTTCTAAACAAACGCATTTCTCAGTGAAGTTCTGCATGGGCCCCCATTATAAAGCTCAAGTATGGCGCGAGCCCTGTGGCCTACCTTGAAATGTTTAGCCAGAGCCCACATAGACACAGGTACAATTCGGTCACGCAGGAAGGTATCTCTTCGTGCTGATTATTATAATTCTTTTATCCGGTCGTTTGTAGAAGGTAATGAGGTGGCAAATTCGATGTTCATAGATTAAAATGCCCCTTCACTCATAGTAGTATTTTATGGTACAATTCGCAACAATGCTGTGCTTCAGGCATGCTCATGAATACATCAAATATAAATTATTTTTAATAATGCAGTACATTTATAGTCATGGAAATCAATGTGGACAGGCAAGAAATCTTTCCAAAAATTTTTAAACTGATTTGAGTCCTTCGAGCCCGGCCGCGGCACTCACATTTTTGATGGATGCCCTTTTACTATGATATTACTGCACAGTATTGAAACCAGATGGTCAAAATTTCCTGAGTCTTCTACTATGGCGTCTCTCGTAATCATATTGTTTTGGGACATAGAACCCCGATCATTATTATTACTATTATCAATATTTATTGATATAATAAGACAAAGCATATAACTAAGACAAAAGATCTGGTAAATCAAAATTCATCCAATTCTTTTTGATGATATCATGCACACTTCACAATAGAAACAACGATGACGATTTATATTCTTGATAATGACCATTTAGAACTTACAGATTCAGCAAGATGGGGCAAGAAGAAAGCAAAAGCAGATACAATTAGTTCTTGTTATAACCATGACAGCAAGATGTGAAATGGTTAGCATGACACTAAATTACCATATTTACACTGCCCCGCATAACGCATCAGTTAATCCCAAATAAAGGGTTCTTACTTTATTTGGGACATAAGGACAGGAATGAGGCTTAAATTAGCCCGCAGGGCACAAGAACTTAACCCAAAGATGATGTTTTATGAATAATATTTCGCAAACATTAGTAAAATACAAAAGTAAGCATGTTCTTGCAAAAAAAAAACAGCATGTACATCAATCAGCACATCCTGCTACAAGCAGGTCCTTCAAGTAGTGCGTACCTAGCTGCAGGGAAAACTGCGTTAGTGATATATTGGCGCTCGTGGTTGATTTGCTAAGCACAAGAACATGGGCTGAAGAGTTGTTCATTATTTACGCTTGCTTACGCAAACACATTGTGCGTCTTTTTCCTCTTTTTTTTTGAAAAGGAAGAAAAAAAGCTAACTTCTTTTATTATTGGTGCTCTTGCTGAGAGGAGGCACACTCAGGGCCAGCCTTCTGCATGCGTGCACGTCGGCTCGGCCCTAAATGTCTCCAACCATGCAATAAATTACGTGCAGGTGTGCTCAAAGGCTTGACTTGGAATCTCCATTGTGTGGGCCCGAGTCCAGCTTTGGCCTATGCCTTCATGCCTGGGCTTCGGCTTGGCTGTACCTAAAGACCCTTCAGATGGCCTAGCTAGGCTGTCCGAAGTGAGTTGGATAAGGGTTTCGGCTCAACCCATGGCCTTGCAGTGATCTAGTTCTTTCAAGCTTACCAGTTCCTGTCGTACCATTTGATATATAAAAATAATCAATTCGTGATACAAGGTTAACTGCACAACATTAGAGGTGGTTTCAGAAGTTGCATGAAAATGGGCGATGAGACACAAAGCAGATAAATAACATTGTTCGTCTATTGTATTTGTCTTTAAGGAGAAGAGCCGTGCCTTCCTACAACCTCTGAGCGCGTAAGGGCCAGTCTTCCTGGCGCATGCCGTCGCTTCGGAACGTCTACAGGTTTAAATGGGTACTGACACAAAATTTTGTGGTCGAGATAGCCGGTGTAATCAATTTCCGTGAACATGCCTATATCATCTTCTGAATATCAACAGCGAACACAGCATGGAAGGTATTTCACAGGAATTCTCATGTTTGGTTTTGAAGGTATTGACGCCATGAAAAAGGGACCCCATAGGAAGCCCCATATACTCCTTTCACACTGGAGGTGTTATTCTGTTAGGTTTATATGCCATTCATAGCAACAAATTTCATTCAATTCAGTGCAGTGATACACTAAAAATGTAAATGTCATTTGTTCGTCAGGTCAATGTCCACAATTCAAAGAAAAGTGGCTGGAAAAGTCGAGGGAGGGAAATGTACAGGGCTAAAAAAGGGAAGTCAGTCTTTTCGAAAGACATGCAGGAAGTCGCTTTGCTAAATTATTACGCAGAGAAATTTTGTATTGTTGTATATATGGCCACCATAAGCCAAGACAATTCCCTTAGCCAGTAGCCGAAGTCGGTAGAAGTAACACAAGGAACACGGCGTGCGTGGCATGACGAAAAACAACGACAAAACAAACGTCTCGCATCTATTTAGGTTCTCTAAAACGCGATGTAACAGATGCACTCGTGGTATAGTTTGCGGCGTGACCGCACATTAACTAAGAGCATTTGGCGTTTGTTCAATTTACAACACTTTCTCGCATGACGAGCGTACAAGAGGGAGCTTGCAACGGAACTGCCGTAGCCTTATGGGAGAAAACGTCTCCACGTAGGTTCAGTGCACTCGCGCACCTGATTTCATCACTTGAGATACGTGCGTACACGTGCAGAGAGGCATCTGCTTGTTTTCATCATGACCGACAGTGCCGATGGCAAGGTGCCACTGAGGTAGAGAGTCTATCTTTTGCGAAAGCCTTCTGTACTCGTCCTCGTCATTGCAGTCGAACTTAATGTATACCCTCTACCCTAGAGACTACTTAAAAGGTGACATTCGGCATTGTCAAATTGACCCGCATTCAGACACGCCAATAATGTTGCTTTTTGGGGCATCTAATTTTCTCACCACGCTGCTGTAGTCATTCTCGTCCTCGTTCGGCCCGAACTAGAAGTTGTTGAAGACGTCCAACGCGTCGTCCCCAGCATTGCTCTGTAGTAGTGCTGCCTTCGCTGCTTTCGTTTTCTTCTGGTTCGATACAGCCAATGCTTCCGTCTTTGGCTGGTCCGCTGCCGCCATCACCTGCAGAAATAACTCAAACTTCTACTTAAACGCTTCCAGTTTTCTGCGACGTTACCCGTCAGCCGCAATGGCTCCGGAGTCTTCAGGCAATCTATAATGTGCTAGACGAGGAAACAATTTCCTGCGGCGTCGAAGAGCCGCTTCAAACACCATGTACAACTAGCGCGATGGATGTAGGGACGACGTTGGCAGTATGATGGTCAGTGCAAGAATAACAACGATGTTTATTGAGCTTTCCGCTCGCATATAAAGGCACGCGCGAGTGCCGTGAACATACTGCGCAGCACTGCTGCGCAATGACGCCGATCTTATCAGTACGCGTGCTCCATACAGCGTAGAGATGATCACGTGGCCTTAGGGGTGCGAAGGAGGCTTGACAAAAACGGTGAAAGACTGATTTTTCATATAGAGACTGCGTTTCTAAGTGAGGGACTGGGTGGAACATAAAGAAGGTTTGGTGGAACCGGCAATACATCTTGCTTTTTAGAACTTCCTCGAAGACTATTTGGAAGCTCGTCATATAGAAGAAGCTTAACGGAGCTTGCATTAACTCGTTCAAGCAAACATTCAAAAACACACACACAAAAACGGGATGCCATATTGCGTGTATGCGTGCATGAATGTGCGCTTGAATGAGGACACGCCAAGTTGTTTCATGTTTCTTCAATATGACCTCGACAGTTGTGCCGAGGCGCCAGAGTGGCTTGCGTCTGTAAACCTTCACATTACTTTGTACACACCATAGGTTTGGCTTGTAGTACCAAAGAACACAAGAGCGTGCGTACGCAAGTGGCTTGTAGTCCCCCGCCCTAAAGCTTCCTTTAGGTGCTGCGGGGGTTTATTGATAAGTCACTTTCTCGCCATGAGAAACGTCGATACGCAACCAGATGCGTAATGTAGAACAAATATGCACAACAACAATTATTGTTACATAAAACTTAGCAACAATGACGGATATGCGAAGGTATGAGTAAAAATAGCCAACGGCTTCACTGTTCGACTGTTTTTATAGCGTTGATTAGCAATACTTCTTTTTCCTCTCGTATTGTGTGCGACAGCTGTGGGGGACAGCGGTGCTGGTGAAGGCGGACAACATCGCCACCTAAAGCGGCTGTTGTTGTGAGCTCATGACAGCAGAAGCTGTAAAATTTCGTTCACAATTAAAAAACCAGTACCCCATATACAGCGACCTCCGCACATTTTGTCAAGGCAAAAATATCTTCCCAATGCCAAGTTTACTTTTAAAGGGCTAATTAACAAAAACTTCCTAATCAGTGTTTTGCCATAAAATTTATGGCAGCTTATTTATGACAAGGTTTCAAGGTGTGAAAATTTATCACAAAATAATTTACATGCGACACCAAAACTATACACTTCATTGGTTTCTTTTTTTCACTTGAAACTAGATATTGAATTTTTCCTCTAGAACAAACATTTAAACTGATCACAATATTCTTCTAAAATCATACTTGAAGTTTACTTATTATTAGGTGTATTTTTCTGCTGTCCGCCTTTAAAACCAAATAAATAATCTGTTAGGTCAATATGATAAACGCCTTCTTATGCAAACACGTCTGAAAAATCTCTTTTCTTTTCTATTTAGCGGCTCCGAAGCAGAATAGAAGGCAGAGACGGAGTTGTTTTAAGCATTACAACAAAAAGGAAGTTATTATTGAAGAAACTGTTGGCTGACTCATTTCTGTTTATAGAAGAAGAAGTTAAAATGAACTAAAGCCAGCACATAATCATATTAAAGCTAGTAAAAGGCAAATACTGCACCTCCAGATCTAACAAGGAGGCTTTGCACTATAAATTCTTCAACCAGACCTGGGTTCACTCGACCGCATTATTAGGCATTTATGTACGGGCACAATTTGTTTTATAAAACGTTGAGCATGATCCATCGGCAGTCACGCACATAGTTATCAATACGGAAAATTTTCTTGCCGTGCACTCTTAGAAAAAAAGTTAGTAATCAGTTAGTAGACGCGTGTGTTTACTAGTTTTCGGAGCATTTTACTACCTTTGCGGCGTACTTTTACTAGCTACCAGCTAGTGCAACTGGTAATTTTAGCCGTTACTAGCCAGGGAACCTTTCTTAGCGTTTTTAACTAAGCAACTACTAAGCCACCTACGTTGCCAAATCGGTCGTAGATGCCGCAGTATATTTTGCCGTAATAGTGACATCGTAAGAAAAATCTAGGCAAGTTCCAATTTTATTGACTACTTTGGAATAGAAGTTATGTGCTACATAATGGCACACACATACGTAGATAGAAGGTCACATGATGATGCATAGAAAACAAGAATTATCTTTTTAAATTTTGTGACCTGTAACCAGCACGTGGCGTGTGGTTTCACAGCAGGGGTATGTATATTTTTCAAGCTGTCACTACAGTAGAAATCTCCCATGTCAAAGGCCTGAAGATTTACTTGTGCGTGTGTTCTCGTGATCCGTTGATATGAGTTCTCATACTCGTATGAGCATATAATCATGTGAGTATAAAAATTTTATGCTCATATAGACTCATATGAGCATATCATATGCTCATATGAGTTCGTATGATCATACATATGTGGATATGATTTGATCATATGATCATGTCAATTCTCTATAAGTATATTGCTGTGATGCGCACTTACCCCAGTATAGTTACATGGCATAATTCAGAGCGAATAATAATTTACGAGGGCCATGTCAATTTCTTTTTATCTTATACGTTTGTAATATATTAATATTGATATGGCTACGCACACGAACATTTAACCAAATAGGCGTACACCTCAATTTTCCGGGGGTTACTAATAATTTAGTAATGAGCTAACCACTTGAGTCAGCACTATTCACTTTCACTTACTGACTAGGTAGTAATTTGAACTACCCAACGACGTAGAGCTTTTTACCCAGACTATTAGTATTTGGGCTAGTGTTTGTTACGAGCCCGATGAGGTAGTGCCTTTCACTAGGTTTATTTTACTAGCTGCATTTACTAGCTGGTTAGTGGATTTTGTGACAAGTAATGGGCTAGTACTTAGTTAGTGAATAAACCGACGTTTTTATAACAGTGTAAGCTATGAAGTTTGGCTAGCTAAAAAGCATGCATGTCAGTGGGAGAAAACGGCGTGAAGAAAAAGCAGCGCTTCGTGATCTTTGTCTTCGTAGCACATGGTAGCGCAAATCAGGTGACAGGATGACACCAAACAAGAAATACATACGCAAGCGCTGACTTCTACAGACGAGTTTATGAAACGAAGTCATTTGAGAACTACCTTCTCGACATATTGACCTTTGGCTCATGACAAAATCCAAAGGCCTGTTTCAAAAGTCAGTTCCAAACAGCAGCTTCAAAAGCGAAAAACTCACATATGCAACCACAAAATTATCACAAAAATAAAACGAAATGACATCTATTATTGCCACATACAAATTTTTCAATCATAAATATGATTGAAAAATTTTTATTCTTCAGTTAAAGCAAGCAATTTATTTATTGTCATATTCATTCGTTTCATTCGCGCTAATTTCAGTTAGGTGCCAATTTGATTGGTGATGGCACGTATAGCATCTGGTATTATGGAGCAGGCAGCTAATTAATTTGCCTTAGTATGCGTCTGAAGGTGTAAAACATGCTCTGATCCTGACCATTGCTATGCAATGAATGAAGGGGAGGGACACAGCGGGACCTAATTGCTGCTGCTGAAAATGAACCTGATAAAAGTGTGGAACAATTATTTGCTATTTCAATTGAAGTGAACAATAGATAAACGGAGTGAAAGGTTAAATTGACCAGGAACCTTCAGCACGCGGTAATCCAACCTAAAAACCTGTATATTACCTGTACACTGCACTTTGTAGAATTTAGACGTTGGGCAAGCTGCCGCCGTTTTGCTAAGTAGTGTTACAACGTACGCGTAAAGCGTAGGTTGTGGGGCCAGCCTCCATTGGCGGCAAGTTTTATGTTGCTCAACTTTGCTTTTTCTCAACGTCGTCATTTAAACAGTTTATTTAAAACAAGAAGTATTTTTTGTATTGTGTTCTTGATTTCACTAAGTCTTTGCTGCATGTTTTTGCGATAGATTTGTTATCCTTGATCAGTGTGGTAAGGAACCCCAATCGGGTATATCAGTATTTAAAACTGACAAAAATTGCGCATAGCGGTTCAACTTTACGGGTCGAGTTAGCAGCGTTGGATAACTTAAATGTCCTATAGTTAAATGTTTTGCATATTTTTATGTTTCTAGGCATTGTTCAAACTTTGTTTTCATTTAACTTCATATCCTTCAATAAGCATCTGCAAATGCTGAAGCAGTCACTTTGCCTGATTCTATACTACTTTGTTTTCAGCTATTCAGCAATTTCTGAAATTTCTGTGCTACCACAGCACCAAATGAAATATTCTTTTAGTGAAGTTCTGTTTATCACAACAACAACAACGACAAGAATGTAAACACCTAAGCTAATTTCTCCCGGTCTACCTTCACTATAATCCCTTCCAGAAATTTCAAAAGCATTCATGGCAGCAGTTTCTTCCGTACTATGCCTTGTAGCTTGGCGTGGCCTTCACAAATGTATATTTATATTTTATTGAAATGGCAATCTCCTCTATGTCGAATAATTTCAGCTGCGAAGAAACGATCGCCCATCTCCTGTATGAGGGTTACTAACCACACTGGATTTGGTAGGAGTGTCCCGAATTTTCTTCAAACGTTCCAAGACCCGCACTAGCCCAGTTGGAACAGCAATAAGTCCCGGATTTCTTCCGCACCATTCAGTTTGGAATTTGCATCTGATCTAATGTACTCCCAACAACGGCATCACGCTACAGAACACGAAGTTCGCACGAATCAGGCGCACGAAGCAATGCTGGGGTGGCTTGCGGTAGTGGCGAAGGGCTATGGTCGCTTTAGTTGAACTTCCATGTGAAGTGCTATACCATTTGCGACAACATTCCCCAGTAGAGAAAAGTAGTAGGAACTTTTGCGAGCAGCATGTACTCAGC